AGCTGGATTTTCCTGCAAGTCATAGCAAATGAGGGTTCTGGAGAATGCTCCAAATGTTGGAGGGAAACAAGTGACAAATATATTTTTTACATAATCAGCTGGAGTGGGTTAGCTTTTCTTGTTTATAATGAGTAAGTGAAACATGCTTATAAAGAGAGTGATCTTTAGGAAGGTATAAGAAGAATGATAAGATTTCTTGTAGTGGGTGCCTGTGATCCTCCTGCTTCACTTGAACACTGCTGGAAGGTTTCACTGCAAGCCCCCAGTTACAAAGAGTCGCATGTCTGCAAGCCTGGTTAACACTGATAATCAGGAAATCTGCACTGATAGTCAATAGTCATAGTCAGGTCCAGTTGCACATGAAACAAGCAGGTGATTTCCCCTGGCATTCAGTGCTCTTTATTTGAGCTCTCAGTCTGTGGAGGCAGGTGTGGCAAAATTCAGCCTGGTGTCAGTAATGTCAGTAACGCATTGCTGTTCAGAGAAAGTTATTTTGGACTCTCGAATGTACAGCTCCTCAGACAGCAGCCTGTGACCCGGAGCTGGGCCAGGAATTAACTTGGCCCTTGATTTTTTTGGAGAGCTGGTACAGAGAACTATCCTGGGTTTCTCTGTTAAAAAAAATCTCCAATCGTAACTGCCCTAACAAAACTAGAGAGAGCAGATGGATTTATTCCATTGTAGAATTACTGCATCAATGAACCCAGAAGTTCAAGGAGTTTGATTCACTGGCTTATGCTATTGAGGGTGTATTCTGGATAGAATGAACTGGATAAATAAGGAAAAGAATATGAGAAGGGGGGGAAAGAGCAAACAAATAGGCTAGAAGTGGAACAGAGACAATGGACAGGAGAACAAATACAGGACTGCGCAAAAAATAAGAGTAAAGATGCACAGAAGGAAGATTTTTAATAAAAAATTAATAGGGTACATATACTTTATATAGAACATCATTCACACTAACACATCTTTGGAGTGCAGTTTGTTCTTTTGTATACAGCATTGGCTGATCTTTTGCTGTAACTCTTGGAGAGTTGAGCAGAAAGGATTGAGTTGATGTAAGAACTGATTTGCAAACCTCATCTGTCTGAAAATCCAGCACTATTTTTATGTTCAAGTTTGCTTGTCCTTACTCCCCTAGGAAAGTAGCAAACTTACCCAAAAGTCAGCGAGTACCATAGTCTTGGGGGCAAGGAAAGAAAACATTTCTTCCTCAGTGCTATAATCAAGAGACTAATTTTTGGTCACAAGGTCTCCAAAATCAGTAGCTTTTTGAGAAACCTAAATTACAGGGAATGAAAACCTGACCCATAGCTAAAAAATGTGGGTGAAAGAGGAGGATAAATGATTGCTAAATCCAGGAAAAAGTCAAAGACTGAGAGCTTGAAGGTTTTGGTCTTTGATTCGTATTTCCTGTTGTTGCAGGCAGTCGTACCTTCCAGTCCTGTTAAAAATGTATCAGGATTTGAGAATTAGTGCCCAAATGTTGTTGGAAGGCTTACCAGAACTTTCTTGAATCATGGCCCTTCAACAAGAAAAGGCAAAATTTGGGAATTACTGAGACCTGGTACAGACTAATCTGAAAGCAGGGGAAATGCAGTGTTTGAAGAGGTGGTCTGATAAAGGACATTTCAACGGGGCAGATTGTGTCCAACGGAGCTGCAGACATTGCCAGCTGAAGGAGGGTTTCTTTGTGTGTTTGTTATGGAACCAAATATCGTGTGTGTATGCACTCAGATATTGCCCCACAGAAGATGTTTGTGCAATTCTATAGTGTTGTCAAAACAGAGGGAAGAGCACTGCTAAAGCTTCTAGGGAATGTTCAGAAGACAAGGTTTCCTTTGAGGAAGCAGCTTAGGTGCTGGCTGGGTTTCACAGGCTTCATTTGCATATGTGGAGGCTGTGTCCTTTCCAAACCACACCACCACTGCAGCTGTCTTCCTTGCTTTTCTCCTCCTTGGGGCACTATGCTCAAAACCCACAGTAAAACATGGGGAAAAAAAACCCCTAGTGGGTAAGTTTATACTATGGCTGGGGTTACACACTTCAGTTAAAAATAAATAAAATTCTTCCCAAGCAATTGTTGAAATCCCAGTCTTTCTTAGTTGGTGTTTTGCTTTGCATCTCTTCCAGGTAATGCTGAAACTGACAGCAAAGTTCAAGCTATAATGTGGACAGAGCCATAGAAAAGCTCTGGGGCTCTGTAATTACTACTTTTGGTTGCTCCATCTATAGTGCACTAGAAAAGTTCCTCAATCTCTAAAGCTTGTATGGTGAGAGCACCACTAAGGTCACAGTTTATATTTATCAGTTAACTTGTTAATTTGAAGGGAAAGCATTCAAGTGGAAATGCAGAAAATAGAAACAACATGAGCAGGTCACAATATCCAAAACAGCAATATGAAATGTTCCAGTGTAAATACATTTCTATAAAAGGTGTGAATGAAACTTCAAAAAAAACCCCAAAAACAGATGATGGATTCGGCACAGTCAATGAACACAATTATAAGTAGGTATTGAAGGAGAGTATTCCACCAACCATGGATCCACAGATAATAATTAATAAGAACCGACTGTACTCCAGGCAGGCAGGTGCCCAGTATTATTTCACAGTTGACTGTTCAGGGGGTAGAGGTACTCACCTTTGCTACAGATCTTAATAATTTACTGCAGTTTTATCATTAAATCAGCATATAATTGGGAAGGAAATTAGTTTGGGGTTTTTTTTTGTTAAGAGTAAAGCAATACCGTTAATTTAATTATTTGTAGGAAAGGCTTTCTGTAGTTATTTGGTATGTTGCTGTGTTTTTTCTTTTAATTAAGTAAAGTAAAAACAATGCCATTTTTGTCATCAGTGCTTGGTGAAAATGTGACTGTGATGTGATTTGCAACTTAAGCACAAACTCAGAAAAATGTACATTTTATCAGGACTGGCAATAATGAATTACAAGGAAACACAAATAAGCAGAGAATATATCTGAGACCTCCTACCATTTCTGAAGGTTCCAGTGTCTGCGGGGAAAAGGCTATTTCAAGAATTGTACTTCTTATTTATTTTTTTTTTCCTCTCAGCAAAATTGCCATAGCCTTGTATAATAATTGAATTCATTTAGTCTTTAGAATACTCAAGTTTGCAAGTAACAATGAAAATGAATATTTCATGGCATGGAGGATGATAAGCTATAGTTTTGTAACTTTGACTGGTAGCCCAGCACAAGGGAGCCAGCATTTACATTTCATGAGAATTTTTGCACCCAGATAATTAAAAGAACTGTAGCTTAAGACAATATGCAGGCAGGTGGGGATAGTTAAACAAGACTTTTATTATTGGATTTTCTTTCCCTGTTCTGGACAACAATTTGCAGTTCAGCTTTGTACATGGAATTTGTTGCGTACGCAATGCAAAGGGGTATCGTAAACCAGTTGCACATGCAGCAGCCCCTATTGTCTGGGAAAGGCTTTGACGGGGAGACAGGTGTTAACAGCGCGTCTGGATTTTCACACGACAGGAGATTTTTAATTAATTTATTTTCAGTGAACAAGCAGTGGGTTCAGGTCGGGCGGGTGCGCCCTGAGGCAGCTTGCGGAGGCGGGCGGGGGTCGCGGGCGGCGGGCAGGACGGAGGCAGCTCCTGGTCACAGCCACGGTTTTTTGGGGAATGCACGGAGACAGGGGAGTGATTAAAGAGCAGCTCGAAGTACCGCAATCCATCTGGGAACAGGATCAGGCTTCCCCCTCGGAGCAGGTGAGATAACTGTAGCAACATCTTTTATAGATGCTGAGTCCATGTCAGGGAAATGCTGGGGTGGGGGCGGGGTTGCCGATAGATTTTCCGTGGAAAAACTAACTCGAGTTGCAGTTGTCTGTGAGAAACCATAACCCAACCAAAATACTCGGGGAGGTGCAAAAACCCCGAGTGCAACAAAAAAATGCGGGGAGGTGGTGTAACTTTTGCCGAACTCTGGGACAGCCTCTCGGAGCGGAGGCGGGGGAGCGGCGCAGGCACGGGAGAGGCGCTCGGGCTGCTCGGAGCACGCAGGCTGTGCCACGGCTGGAGTCACTTCACTTTTTCTTTCTTATAAGCGCAGCTCTGCCCATTGTGTGCTGGGCTGTGGGGGGAAGACAAAGAAAGCAAGCTAAGAAATTAAAAAGGATGGGGAGGGATAGGAGCTGTGTTACGGCGGGAGCAGTGTTCCGGGGGTGTGGCGTGGAAATCTCCTTTGAATCGCAGCGTGTTGCCGCGGCCGCCGAGGTCTGAGCGGGTTTTGCAAAGATTTACTTCACTTCAGGCTGGGTCTGCCCCTGGCTGACGTCACGGGCTGGAGCAGCGGCTCCAGAAGGCTGGATGAGTGACAGCCCAGCCTACTTTTTAATAGCTTTGTCATGTGACGGGGAACAGTAGTAAGACAGGTGCCTTCGGTTCACTCTCAGAGAGGGTCTCGTTGCCTGCATGAGTGTCTGCTGCCTGCCTGCCTGCCTCTGGACTGTAGTTTGCCAGCTTTCCTGCCGTCGCTCCGCAGCTGGATGGCGTGGGACATGTGCAACCAGGACTCTGTATGGAGTGATCTCGAGGTGAGGGGACGCGGCGTGGGCGGCCGTGGGGTGCCGGCAGCCGGCGGGGCCGTGGGCTCGGCGGGGCACCGCCAGGACGGCCGAGGCAGCGCACTTTGCAAACAAGTCCGTATCTTATCTTAACTCCAGTAAGTTTGCTATTTTAAGGTTACTCTGCGATGCCTTGAGCAAATCAAAGCTGAGCTCCTGTCATCAGTATAGTATCTCCTGCAGTTGGAAACTATTTTCATGTGCCTCTGGCTCGCTTTCCCGTCATATGCAATATTTATGCTCTAAGATATTGATATGAATCGGTGTCTGAAGTGGCGTTTCCAGTGGCGTTTTCAGTGGCCTGGTTGGAAAAATGCCATGTTTATTTAGAATAAGACTAATATTTATTTTTTAAAAAAAGTTATAATTAACTCATGGCATCATGTTTTAATTCCTTATTTCACTGTGCTCTGTCGAAGGTTTTTTCCTTGTTTATCAGCTACAGAATACAAACATGCACACAGGAATGAACACCCTGTTGTTTGGCTTTAGATGCTTTTAAAAGAGATTTCTGGAAGGAGACGTTTCCCTGCTACTTGTGGTATTGGAATGCTGCCGCTGTAGCTAATGCCCCATAGAGCAGGGTTTGCAGTCAATCTGAGTAGTCCAAGAAATGGTTAAATCCCACTGTACAGCAGAGACAACAGGATGAACCATGAGAATAGAGTTTATGCAGGACTGTGTGAACTGCTGCTGCTGCCGCCGCTGCTGCTGCTTGTGTAAAAATAGACGGCAATACATCAAATCCACAGCTTCTGCTGGCTACAATTCATAAAGGAAAAAATAAAAAAGGCAAGCAGCCCCGTGGTAATCTCTGGAGTATAATGTGAGGTTTGATGATTTCTGCATATTTGCATTCAGCAAAATGGAGCATTACCTGGAAGTTTGGGCAACTTGCGAAGCGAGGCAAACTTTCTTTGGACCCCATGAAGAGGAATCCCAAATACAGACCTGCTCAAAGGAACTAATCCTCTGGATTCAGGCTTGGAATGAGTGCTTAAAATGCTTCCCTTGGGCAATGGGGGAGGGAAAAACAGGTTACAGGCAAAGCTTTTTAAATAAGATGTTCATGCTGTAGAGAGCTACCCATCTAAAGTGAACCGTTTCCATGTTCTCCAGTAAATTTTTCCTATCTGGCAGAGCATGTGTGTGGATTCTCAAGTCATTTTGTCATGTTTTAAATATTTGCAGCTTGCCATTGTATCCACAGATTTCTGTTTGCATATTGTAATTGGTCTTATCTTGTTTTGATTTCTTGGTAAAGTGGAATAGATATGGATAATTCATATGTCCTGTAGCTATTATGAGTCAAGGCAGTAAGTGGATGACTTTCTGGCTCCAAAGTCCTAATTGTTTCTGAGTAGCTGGAGTATCCTGTGGGTTGTTGTCTGGCTTGTAGCATGGGTCTCAGCTGCCATAGCTTCATTTTTCCATTGTGTATTATTCTTAATGCTGCTAGGAACTGATTGAGGAACCAGCTTATATGGAAATACTGAAGATTTATTTTAATCACTAGAGTTCCTGCAGTAATTTCAAGCTAGTAACAGAACAGATAATTTATGTCAATGACTTTTTCATAGTGCAGAGAGAAAAAAAAAAGAACCAAAAAAAGAGTTTGATCTTAATATTAATTGTGTGGTGGATGGATTAACTGTGGGTAGGATTTTGCCAGTGTGCTCCTGCATTGCACTTCCTGTAGCAACACTAGCGTCTGCGTGCTGCTTTGGCTCAGGGGATCACCTTTACTGAGCTAAAATAACGCAGGCAGTAAGCACTGGAGGCAGCTTTCATTCTTTGAATCATTAATATTTGCTGTCAATGTTAAATGTATTATATTCTCGCTCACATAATGACAGGATGGCGTGTTGTTTAATAAAGGCCTGCATCACTGTAGCTGATCTGCGTCCCCAGTGCTTCACAGCTTAATGAAGGTGATGTACAGTAAGGTTGCGAAGATTGATAGAGAGAATCCACATGACACACATTTTGTGAAGTCTCTCTTTCTTTCCTGAGTTCATCCCCTTGGCACTTTGAAAAACTTGTTAAAAATAAAACAAAGATTATATTTTCATTAATATAATTAATATGGCATAAGTCCAGTCTTCTTCTTCTTCTTCTTTTTTTTTTTTTTTTTTTTAATTTACCTTCAAAGGCACAAAAACAGCCAAAAGGTTAATGGAGAATTATACTTAATTATAATGATTCATTACCATCAGTGCAGTTAAGCTAATTTACTGTTTGCGTCTGAACTAAGAGAAAAAAGGTCTGTTGGAGTGAAATAACACACAGTAATTAGCCTTTTGTGTTTAGTGACTGCTTTATCCTCCTAAATGTTACTGTAAAATTAGGGCTATAGTTATGGAATAGCTATCATATCAAATAACTGTGGGAAGACAGTAAAATGTGTGCTGGCAATGCAGGTGCACCTGTTACAGATGTATAGGCAAACAGCAAATATCAGCGTGTCAGATGAGGACAGTTTTAGGACTTGGAGTGTTAAATCTGGCATCATCCAAAGGCCAAATATAAATTAATAACAGGAACACTTGCTGCTAATGTGTCTCAGATTAATGTGCTCTGTGTGCTCAGAAGCATAATGTCATATTCAGAAACATTGATTTTATTATCATGTCAACATTGGCAAGGCATATATACTTCATTTCAGCAGTTACATTTTTAGGTGACATTGCAGTCACTATAGGTAAATGAAGGCTGTGATAAGCAGGATTTTTTTTAATACCATTGTTTATGTTACTTCAAAAGCCCACTGTAGGAACTTAAAAAATGCAGATTACCAAAAGTAAACATGTTTAAGTAGGTGGTGCACAGGGTGAAGCTATTTTTATAAATGAAAGCAGTAACAGATCAGCAGGATACTTTAGAAGTCTGTGGCATCAGTTATAAGCTACTGACCTCCAGAACACAAACCTGAGCATGATGCTGAGAATCTACCTTTTCAGTCAAAAACTAGATTATCCTTTAATGAGATCAGAGATTTCGGCCAAGCATCAAAAAAGGTCATCTCTGTATTATAAGACTGCTGGCAGAAGGTTGTGTCTCGCACTAAAGAAGAGGAAACTCTCTAATTTTGTTTCGTCTTACACTCAAAATAATGCTAAAAAATTCAGATTTAAAAAAAAAAGTTAACATTACTTAAGTGGGATTTTGACTTCTTATAGTTCTACGGCCCCTTAAATAATAGGAAGAAAAACAAATGCTATTTCAGAGCCTCATTTTGCAGCCTCTCAGCTTCCTTGCCCCTTGGCCTACTCTGTGATTATCTTGTAGTGTCCTGGTAGACGTAGAAGTTGTCTGGTAAATTATAGCTCACACCAGCTGCACCGAGTCTTTGTGCCAACAGACAAAATCTTTGCTCACGGCTGCGCTGCTGCATCCAGCCCGTGCACTGCAGACACACCGAGATTCCAGGGACAGAAACATCAATGAAATGCACCTTCAGCAGCTCTGGCTTACATTGTTGTTAAAGGCGGTCCTTGCGAGAGTGACATAACCAGTATTGAGCGATTCACATCCATGGACACTGCTAGTGCCCTACAGACATCTGCCTTCAGAAAGCGGCGCTTTCTCCATTGACTTCAGTCCAAATAGAAGTTGGGAAATCATTCAAGCCACCCAGTCAACTGACAGGAGCTGTGGAGGTCCTGCTCTTGGCCATCCTTAATGCAGCGCTAGGAATACGGTAGATGCCCTTAGACTCAGTTGACTTTAGATGGCTTTTAACCATTCAGGTGCCTCTGCAGCTCCATGTGTGCTTTGCAGTGTGCCCATATCGACGTGGATGTTCGGAGATGAGTTACAAGGATCCACGGAACAGTGCAGTAGGAATTGCTTAATTGAGCAGCATTGACATATGGGACTCAGCTATTTGCCAAACTGTTACTACATGTTTTCTATAATTAGGAAATGGTTTTGGTGGATACTCTAACATTTCAATTGCTGTGTTGAAGTGGATGTATGTTATTAATTTTTTCTTCCTTAGTAGGTCAGTCAATACCCTATCTAGCTTCATACTGGCATATAAAAGGATACTTACTCTAGGTTTGTTTTTATTTATCCTCACTCCCTTCGTAAGTTGCGCAGACAAAAACATTTTGCGCTGCTGAAGAGGATTCCTGCAGACTAGACTTTGTTTACTGCCTCAACCAAAATGTTTCACAGACCCTCTTTTAGGATTACTGAATCAGAGGCTGCTAGAAGAGGAAAATCCATTTGGTTCTCTGAGTACAGCTTCTCTCTGGGGATATTTAGGAAACTGGACAGGATAATAGATGTGTTCACACCAAGCAGGTGAAAGGCTGCGTGAACTAACCATGCCCATCACTGAGAGGAGAATATAGGGGTATTTCAAGCCACACTTGTTTGCCAGGACCCTTATGCATCAGGAAAAGAGTACAGCAGGGTCACTAACCCATACTTTTTTTATGCCCATATGGTAGCCACCATCATGAATGGCTGTAAGGATTACAGTAAGGTTCTGTAGAAGTGAAAGTGTGATTGTCTCCAGCTTGAGCTAGCCTCCAGGGCTGAAGGCTGTAACAGGCTGTGCCTCTTTAACCTGAATGTATCAGGAAATGCATGACAGACCTTGCCCAGAGGTATTCATCTGTAACTTCTACCTGCACTGGTTCACTCTGGAAGGAGAATAAGGCCATGCTTTGGCTTCTGCTGTTGGATTTAAAGCTTTGACTATGATAATTATCAAATGGTATAGGGAGAAGGAAAGTCATCTTCCCTGGGTAGAGAAGACAGCTTATGCCCTGCTGTTTTCTCTGCCCTTTTACATACCTGTGTTAGAGCTAACAGTGACCAAATACTATTTTTTCAGAGAACAAAGTCAATCCTAGTGACCCTGTGCCATAGTTTAATTGAGGCTTAATTCTTATCACATGATATTAGTTAATAGATTCCTCGTAATTAATGAAACTATTTCTGTGTTGCTGTATCCTGCAGTGTGCTGCTCTGGTTGGTGAAGACCAGCCTCTTTGCCCAGATCTCCCAGAACTTGACCTCTCTGAACTAGATGTGAACGACCTGGATGCAGACAGCTTTCTGGGGGGACTCAAGTGGTACAGCGACCAGTCAGAGATCATCTCCAATCAGTACAGCAATGAACCCGCCAATATATTCGAGGTAAGGCAAGATGATGCAGATGCATGTTGCAAAGTCCTTGCTTGCTTTTTTCTGTTTTGTTTTTGGTGGGGTTGTTTTTTTTTTTTTTTTTTTTTTTATTAGCCTGGTGCACAACAGTTTACTATTTTTCCACCATTAAGAGACAAGAAAACTGCTGGTGTATTACGGGTTCTGACTGGCGTCATTAATCATCATGATCAAAACCAGACCTGCGATCTGAAGGGTGTGTGCGGGAAAGCCTTAAAAGGATTTACATGGAACTTGTGATTTTTGGGAGGAAACAGCTAAAGAATACCTAGAGCACACTGCCCTGTGGTGTCATGATGAGGAGTTGCACTGTTGTCGGCTACCAAGCAAGACAGGAGTTGAAGCTCATTTGTGTCTTCCACTGGAATTCCTCAGCAAGAAGCAGGGTGCTGCACAGCAGCTAGCTGATGAGTAGCTGGAACATTTCTAGTAAAGATTTTTGCCACTCAGAGACTTACTGTGCAAGTTACTTGTGCACAAATTGGGAGGTCTGTGATTTGTTTATGTTCAGGGGAGAGGAAGGATGAGTGTGGTAGAAGGCAGTGAGGGCTGTCAGTAGCTCAGGGACCAGCTCAGCGTTCTGATGTTTCATAGATCTCCTGGTGGAGAGCAATCTAAAAGTAAAAGTCATAGGGTGATAGGAGAGATTTAATTGTTTTCTTTCCAATTGTGCATTGGGGGTTAGGGTGTACGAGAGGAGGGTTACTGTCTCTTTGTCTCGGGTCTTCTTTCTTTTGTTGTGTAAAGCCTTCATAATTCTCCACCTTGTGGTTTTGGGCAGACATGCCCCTCCTAAACTCTAACCTCCTTCCCTCCTTGTTGATAGGAGAGGCCATAGATCATTCACTGACTGGGAAATTGAACAATAAATTGATTAGCTGGCAGGAAGACCTTGTACAAAAGCAAGCTATGGGTGCTGTTTCTCACCCACCAAGTACCACAGCTCCAGGAAGTACAGCTAGCCCTCTGATTCCGGAAAGCCCCAGATTATCATGGTAGAATTTTAAAGGCTGGAAAAAATTAAGTGAAATGGTATAGTAAAATGCTTGCCTAGGATGTGATGTCCTGAATAACATTCTCCTTCCTTTGTATACCACTCTAGACTCGCAGTGATCTCCCTGATGCAGATGAATTGCTCTGGATTTAAACCAGTGCAACTGATAGCAGAAACTGGTCTTCTCTGTTTAGTTTCTGTAATTTAAATCCAAATAACTTGGAATTAATTCTATTTTAATCAAATCAGCCCCACAAAGCCTTGTGCTCAGGCCCTCTTTTTTCTTTAGTTGTATAATGTTCCACACTTTGTTTTACAAAGTTTCCAAATCCTGTCTGGTTCTTGAATTGCAGTTGTACTGCCTCAGGCAGGGTAGGGCATGTTGGTGGCGGCAGGGGGGCAGGGTCCACGTTTGCAGTGACTGTGATGGAGGCTTGTTTTGCTTTTTTTATAACTGACAACACATATTTTTTCACATTCATCAAAAGCCAAATGCAGAACCATTTTCCTTTAGGAAAAATCAGTTGAAGATGAAGACTTTCAAAGTGTAAGTTCCAGATAAGTAACACAATCAGGTATTTACCAAATCTAAGCATACAGATTATTCCAGTATAACCAGTGGAACTTGGCTTCATTTCTTGTCCCGTGTGTTACTGCCTGTCTGCTCTGATGGCCACAGCTATTGAGTACAAAGTTGTCTCAGATAGGTAGTGACCGTTCCCCTGCACACCTTGTGTAGGAAGCAATTCCCGTGTTGAAAATCAAAGCATGTAGGACGATCAGATAGGCTGGTAGTTAACCTCGCTGGGAGATGGTGGCAAGGACAACATCTCATGGGCAAGTTTGGGTCTGTCTGAGGATGAGCTGCCCCAGTGTGAAGAAACAGGGGAGTATGTGTGGAGAGACAGAGGCAATGCAGCTGGGGGAATGAATCTAACACACAAATTCTGTTGTTTTCTCTCCTCACACTCAGTGACTTCAGCTGCAGGCTGCATTGCTGTCTCATCACAGCTTGGCCCATACTTACCTGTAGGGACAAATTGTGCCCTAATGGTATTTTACAATACTGCAGTGCAAAATTAGACTATTTTCAGCCTCTTAGAGTGTTGTATTTACATTTCTTGGTTGCTTGGCCTAGGAAGATGGTAATGAAACAGTTATTTTCTCCTCCTGTGCGTTAACCCTGTCCCCATTCTGCACTGTACAGCTGGATATTTGCACTATTTCTTGCCTCTGCCGCTCAGTAATGTGACGACTGGGGGTGCTCAAGATCAGAAGATGTCTTCTTCCTCCAGGGACTACCTCACATACTCTGTGAGGAGCTATTTGTTTTAGCTGAGAAAATGGAAGTTTTGTGCAGTTTCTCATTTGGTAATCACTAGATTTTCCCATATTGATAGCTTTTTAAAAAAGAAAATAATGTCTTTTTTTACCTTTTTTTTACCTTTTGTTTTTCTCTTTTGTCATTATGGGAGTAGTATGTTTTATCTAACTTAAGCTTCCAGATGAGGCATTGTCATACAAAAATAGGAATACAGCCTGTTTGGGGTGGAAAAGAAGGAACCAGAATGACAAGCAAATGATGGGAAGTACACGAGCAGTATTACTTGCACAAGCTGTACAGTACATTGCCAAATCTAGCCTTGAATGAAACACACTCTCCTTTGAGGTATTAATGCAGTACATGAGGCATTGTCTACGTGAGGGACAGTGTCCAAAAGCCCTTTACAAAGTTCCTGAGTATCTCTGATGCACTTTTTTTTTAAGAAAGGTTTGTATTTCATAAAGTGAATTTTCAATCTTTCTGCAAATCATGTTCCTGAAAGCTCACTTGAGTTGAGCACCCACAAGCTTAGTGGCACTGGGAGTCTCACAGACTAGGAATTATTAATAGTTATGGTAGCAACCAGGAGCCAAGTGAGATAAAGGTCCAATTAGTCTAGATAGTATGTAAGTGTTAAGTAGAAATCCCTGCTCTCATCCGCTTAGGTGTGATGTGATACTGGCCTTCACTCGAGGATTAAAACACACTCATATTTTGCAGACACACTTAATTCATCTCTGCATCATTCTGTTCACATGCCCATACGAGTCCCAAATCAAACCTGGACGGCCCCAGCACAGAGGCTCTTCTTACCAGTGTTTGTACTTATGTACATTGTGAATTGGGTGATTTCTTTCTATTCACAGCTCAATCACTTCTGGTTTTCACCTAATTTTGTTTGCCTGTTGCTTGAAAAGATAAAATGAAGGAGTTCTTGCCCCTCAGGCTGCTGTCTATTGACACAAGTTCATGTAAGTAAACAGTTAACAAGTCACCCAAGACCAGTTATTTAGATGGTTTGCTGAACCATTCACTTTTATTATTTGTTTTTGTGAAGAACTAGACTTAAAAAAATGGTATTTGCAAAAAATTTAATTTGGCTACTTTCAGGAAATCAAAATGGTTAAATTTTCATTCTCAAAGCTATGTGAAATTGTGAACAAACATGCAACTTGATGTGTCATGAGTGAGAAGGCTTTTTGTTCATGAAAACTGTTGTCCCTTGAGGCTTCTTGAAATATACTGTACCATGTCATGTAAGATTAGTCATATTTAAAATTATTTATGATCCATACCTAGCAATATGGAGAGGGAGGATATCTACAGTGGATGTTTCTCTTTGTTGGTATTTTTTACAAATAACTCAGCTGATGATAAGAGAAAATTCAGCCTGTAGATAGGCAATAACCTGTTAAACTACAATGAACCTGTGTAAAATCATAAATCTTGTACTTGGCAAAACACTTTTTCTAGCCTTCAGAAAGACTTCAGAAAACCCACGTTGCTTGTCCTCATGCAGATTTAATTTTTTTTACATAAATCTACGTTCCAAAGCGATGCGTGCAGTGTTTGATGACTTTGTTTTTAATTGTTTTACATAGGTGTATCCCACGTTACTTCTCAAGGCCATTCTATGTGCCATGTATCTGGAAAGCCTAAAAAGATAACTACATTTTATTGTAGACTGCCAGAAAGGGCTGTATTACAAGCGATGAGAATGTGAGGAAAGAAAGAAATACACAATGAAATGCAGACTGTCTTTCCCCTGGCAGCAGGGGAATGCATGGAGATAAATGATTTCTTATTTATTTGGAAGGGGTTGTATCAGGGAGATGATGAGTGTTGAGGGAAGCCTTTAACATCACCAGGGTAATTTGCATTGGTTCAGATTATAAAATCCCTCAAGTTCTGTGGTGCTGCCAGTCTCTTTCACCATTGCAGGTTATTCATTCAAGGTTTGCAGCCAGATTGATTAATGAATTACCAGATCTTGCGTAAAATGACTTGGCCTGACTTTTAAACAACCACCAATGTTTTCTTTGCCAGTCTTGTGACTGGAGTTAATGGGTTCCAGAGAACTGAGCCTGTATAGACTTTCTGTAGTAGCCTTCCCTAGCATTTTTTCCACTTTTTAATTTTCTCCAAAACTAGTAGCCCAGGGCAGGCAGTTCAAGGAGATATAATCTCAGGGAAAAAAAAAAAAAAAGACATAGTAGTCAAATCCTTGATGGCTGATGCCCTTCAGTGCCAAATCAGCATGATTTATCATAGCCATCTATTCAGCACAACAGAGGCTGGAGGTGAGCTGCATGGTGTACCTCACACAATATGCATAACTAGAGCTCTGAACTTTGAAGGAAAGCCTCAGAGCTATTTGCAAAGTGCTGGTGCTTAGTGAATACTAAATTACATTTAGGAAATAGTCTACTGCTACCAGTTATACTTCATTTTTATTCTTGACACAGACACCTAAATCAGAGAACAGTAACATTTCAGAGATTATGGTAGCAGTTTGGGTATGTTCCAACACTATAATAGGATCAGAATTTTAAGGCCTTTTTTATTATTACCAATAGTCACTTAGTTTCTACTGCAGCGTACTTTGTAGGGAATTACAGCTTTTACTAAAAAGATTAAAATGCTATTATGCAAATG